CGATGTACACTAAAAATACAGGTAAATAGAATATTTTTTATTAATGTGAATTTGAGAAGAAATAATGAATTCCTTCTTTTTAGGCTTCTTCTTCAAATACAATGGATGATCATTGTTCAGCTTGTTCACTTCGCGGTGGTCTCCTTCTGTATCCTCAATCATCATCATCATTCATTCATGCTACTTGTTCAATATATCAAGCTTATCAATCAGTATCTCAATCAAATTCATGTCATTATTGTTGGTCATTTTGTCCATTAAGTTATCGACGTGTATCAACGCATAATTTTGCTTCTTGTAATTATTATCAATGTTCTAATACGTTTCATGTTACATGTGGATTGATCAGTGGATGTACATTTCAAATTCATCGAGATCATTTAACTATTGATGCTCGTTGTCATTTACATGCAAATAAATCTTTGCCAAGTCCATCTTCATCGAATGCTAATAGTCGATCATCAACAATAGATGGAATTGATGATAGAACACAAGAATATTATGAAAGTTTAACAGATGAAGGACAACCAATGGAAGTAGACAATACTAATGTTGATAATATAGTAGAAGAGAATAAACGTGTACCTTCAGGTACACGAGTACTAATAAATGATACAAAAGAACAGAAAATTGGTCAAATTATAAGAAATGAAATCAGTTATCATTATTCTGTTGATTTTGGTGATGATACTTGTAGTCATGATATGTAAGTATATACTTTTTAGAATACATATTTTCTATGATTTGTAATTATTAAGGCTTGGTGAAGATATACTTGATTGTGATCCATCAACATTACTTATCGGTGCCAATATTCGTCTTAAATGGACTGATGGTACAATTTATAAATGTAAATATTTGGGTCGTAAACGAGTACTTTTATATCATATAAAAATTCATAATGAAATTCGACAAATGCAACGAAATGAATTTTCAATTGATAATCAACCACCGTCACCACCACCAACACCTTGTGAAACTGAATGTGAATTTGATAGTAATCGACCATCGCCATTTACGACAACAACAACAATAACAACAACAACAAAACGACAAAATCAACAAACAAAACCACAAACAAAACGAAAACGACGACGACTTATTTTATCATCTTCTTCATCATCGGATGAATCTTAGATTAGATTTGCTTTTCTTTCTATTCCTTTTTTTCTTTTCTTTGTATATGTATATAATTTGTTAGTTTTTATGTCATTCTTATCCGTTCATATCAAATACGTATATACATACATATATATATATTTCTCAACATACAAATACTCTCATTGCATTT